TAACACCAGCTCTGGGTGGGGGTATATATAGAGCTTGCATTTGGATGTCTGGATGCCTTGCATTAGCTCCCAAGATAACTGTTGTACAACAGGAAAGGGTGTTTGAATGAGAAGTGCACGCACGCACATACAGTGTGCTATTTAGACAACCCTAAGCATGAGGTCAGGATGAAAACATGTGGTGGAAATATGTTTGGAAGAGTCAGTGCCTATGTCAATCACCAGGAGTGGGAGGGAGCAGAAGCCAGGAGCTGACAGATTCTCACTCTCTCCCCATGGCTGAGGTGGCCTCAGCCTGAGCAGATTCTACTGTGGCACCAGGTAGAGGCTGTCTGTAGGGCCTGGAGATGCAATGGTTGTTGCCTCCCCATACCTGTACATACTGGCTCATCCTCTTTGGGCGCTGTCTCCCTATTCTCCTAGAGTTTGAGGGGGACGGGCAGCCAGAAATCAGGCTTGGATCAGGAAATTCAGCACATCCTCGCCATTGCATTTCTGTCCCTTGGCTGCCCCCTCCCTGACCGCTCACTGGTAATACAGCTTTGGAAACACATCTCGTGCTATTTCTTGGCTTTGGAGCATACTTAGAAGAAGAAGGAAGGAGAGTGTGAAAGGGAGGGGAAGATAACAGGAGCGAATAATGCAAAATGAGACTGTGCTGTGAGCTTTGTATCCCATCTGGAAACTGTTTTCCCTCAGTACACTGCACACCCACTCCCTCTAGGCCAGGATGGTAAGGGTCAAGTTTCCCAGTTGACTGGTCCCCCTTGCTAAAGCCAAACCCATCTGCGTGAAAGCTACTTGCAATATCTTAAAGTAGAATCTCAACACAGTTGCTGAGCCCTTCATTGTCACAATTAAAACTCTTGGCCATTCTTCTGAGGAGCAGGAGCTGGCTGATCTCAGCCTGGTTGGAAGGCACTCTCAAGGAGTTTTGGTCTTCAAGAAGCTGTGAGAGGATGAGGCTGCTGTGCTTGTGAGTCTCTGTCCATCCCACCTTCATTCACACCCAAGTTCCATGGATTCTTTCTTGAACCTTCCCTGGTCTGCTGAGACCTTTGTTGCCATTGTGTTGGCAAAAGTCTCCCCAGTCTAGTCATGTCATTTTGTGGGAGCACATGAAGACCTTTAGCTGTGCTGGCCCCAGCCTGGGTGGGAATGGAGGGCTAGTGACCACCCAGCACCTTCCATTCCAGCAAGGATAAAGCTGCTATCCATTTGGTCAGGTGATAAACCTGCTTCTCTTCATTGCTCAGAACCTTGAAGCACTGACCCTGCCATGTGCTGCTGTGATGTACACAGCCCTGAGTCACCATATCCTAGTTCCCTGAACCCTCTCTCACACATGCAAAGGAGAAGTATAGCTGAAGTTTTGCCAGATAAGTGCAGCTCCCAAAATTAGACTGGGTGGGACAAAATTTGCATATTCTGGGTTAACAGGCTCAATCTAAGCTAATTAGTAGTGGTTTTGATGGCATCTACCCAAAATAAACTGGGCTGCTCCTCACTGTGTCCATCACAGTTGGATCTTGACAAGAGGACACTCTTTCTTCTTACCATGTGGTTGCATGCACAGCTGTCTTATACAAATTAGAAGTCTAAAATTAACAATACCTGTTGACTTCAGGAGAGAACAGTCAACCCAAGAGCCCCAGTAGTCTTCCTGGGATGTGGTGACAGCTTCCTGCTGGTCCCATAGTTTCCATTATGGGTATGGCCAGCTACAAACCTTTGTTATTATTTTTGTTTGCTTTACTCTTCCTTCTGCTTCTTTCCTCTGCCTCTAATGGTGTCTAAAATAATGAGAAACCTGAAATTACTCCTGCCACTGTTGGTGCCTGTGTTAAGCCTCTCATACTCAGTCCCTTGCACTCATTACTCATCTCTCACCCCTCAGCAGCTGCTGGGGTGATGTTTTTTAGATTCGGAATAAAGCCAGAGACACATCTCTGCCTCTTCCCTCTAGGTAGGTTTGTCCAACAATAGAGAGATTGTTGACTGACCAAGAGATCATTGTTCTAAATGTTGCCACCTTCTTTGAGTAAAACAACAATCGCCAGCTTTGTTTCAGCTCTAGGTGCTCTCCCTCCTTGAGGGTGTTGGATCCTTGGTGCCCCCTTTGATAATAACTGTAGTTATGGCCAATCTCATGGGCTAGCTCCCTTCTCTCCGTTGTCTGTGTTTGGAGATGTTGGACTGATATCTCTGTGAGTGGTGAGAGCTGAAACAGGCAGCTTTGATGAGAAGGCTTTGCCAGTATTTAGGAGGATAAGACCCAGAAGCCCAGAGAGGGCTAGATCCCACAACATTTCTGGACTCCCAGGGAGGGGTGCAAGTTTCATTCTCTGCTCATCATCTATGTTTTTCCTGTACTGTGCAGTAGGCCTCTGTCTCTTGGGAGAGAATGGTCTCTTGGGGACCTGCAGCTCTGGGAGAACAGTGTTGCCTTCGTCCTCATTTCCAAACAGAGAGGTCTTCCAGCAGCAAGTTTTCTGAGTGGTGTCTAAAATAATGAGAAACCTGAAATTACTCCTGCCACTGTTGGTGCCTGTGTTAAGCCTCTCATACTCAGTCCCTTGCACTCATTACTCATCTCTCACCCCTCAGCAGCTGCTGGGGTGATGTTTTTTAGATTCGGAATAAAGCCAGAGACACATCTCTGCCTCTTCCCTCTAGGTAGGTTTGTCCAACAATAGAGAGATTGTTGACTGACCAAGAGATCATTGTTCTAAATGTGGGTGGGATGCCGCTAAAAGATAATCTGTGTAACTACTGCACGGATGCATTTTCTTGACTCTTCAATCCCACCTCTGCCTTTGTTAATGCGCAGTTGTGAAAGAAATTGGAAGCACGTGGCAGTGTCACAGACAGCTCTCCCCACAGCTGTCCCTCCAGCTCCACTTCTCTTCTATTGCTACACAGTGGTTCTAGTTTTCATGGTCACAACATGAAATATGATTTGAGCCCTGCTCTGCTGTGTCGTGGTGCATTAGCAGCCAGCACTCTGAATCCCTTCACTTTTCTGTGGTTCTCGCCCTTACCATAAGGCTATCGTGTTCACATCCTGTGTTTGCTTGTGTTGTTTAGAGAACACAAGACAAAGAACAGCTGTTACATGAGCAGACACTCTCTGGGGTTAATGCTCAGGACTCAAACTCTTTTTCCTTCTATGCTGTAGGATAGGACAAAACCTGGTTTTCTAGTGCTTTTTAGATAACTATCTAACCCAGTTCCATCTGCTGACTCAGCTCCCTCTGAAGTTACACTCCCCACAGATGGTAGGTGTTTTCTGTTACTTGATTCAAGTGCAAAAGTGCTCATAGGCAACTTGGAAATGGCTGGGTGGATTTTACCAAACTACCCCGCCAACTCTGCTTCTGCTGTGGGAACAAGTGGAGAAAACTTTAGCCTTGACATCGCAGGGACGGCCTCAACACTAGGATTTAACATGAGTGTGCCTTCTCCACCCTACTTGCACATGCAGTGTCTGGTCTCCAGAGAAGCCTTGAAGGATGATGCTGGAGGATGAAAGGCACTGATATGTTGGAGATTGCTGTTGCTTACCATCTCCCTCCCCGACGTGGTGGAAAGTGTGGGTCTGTTCACCTAGAGCCTACTTCCCTCCCCAGCCTCACCCCAAAGCTCTGACAGCCAGTGGAATGTTGACAGAGTGGTACTGCGCTCAGGTAAAATAAATATACCTTCCGGTAGGAGCAGGAACCTACCGGCTCCAGCATCCGGGGTCCTCGGGCCACCTCCTGCCTCAGTCCTAGCACTGGGGAAAGAAAGGACTGCACGCAACCCATGCTTCTCTAGAAGCCAGGCTCCCTCCTGAGCTGAGCTCTCACCCTGGAATTCATTGGCATTCATCTCTCCACTCTAGGACCTACGTGGTCTCTCCCACTCTCATTCATACCCTGTTGCTCTTGGTATTTCAGTATACTGCTTTCAATGCCTTTCGGCCCACCAAGATGCTTTTCCAGGCAGGGGGTGGGGGGACAGACCCAGTCTGACTCTGCTGAGCTCTCTCCAGTTCATTTAAGTTACACAGTTCTGTCTGTGTAATATAGTCACTTGAATCTATCTGTCTTTTCTTTCCTCTCCCTGAGCCAGAAGGCTCAATCTGCCAACAAATGGGATAATTTTTCAGCTGGTGTTTGGCAGCCATCATTTTTCTCCCTGCCCAACCAATGCTTTGTTGTAGCAAATGGAAAAGTTAGTGATTTGACTTCTGAATAGGAGGATATGCCTCAAAGGAAGAAGGTTCCCTGTAGCATCAGGAGCTCAGCTCTGCAGCACCACTGGCCAGATTTACTGACTGTTACTGGAATGATTAGTGGAATGATTGTTTGTTGTTAACAGCCCATCTGTAGTGTTTAAACTTCATCGGGGAGCTGAATTTCACAGGCATTATCTGGCTGAAGTACAGCCTCATATGGTCCACAGAGGGGCTGTTAAATCCCAGAGGAAATTAAATACAACAGGGGGCCTTCCTGTTATGTGGATCCAACTGATCTTTTTTCTCTGACAGAAATCGGCAGCTGGTTTGATGTTCTCTGGGGCATCAATGTGCCTATTGCTGCTGGCAGAGAACATGAAAAATTGTCTGTCACTAAGTACAGGTACTGAAGACCATGACTTTGTGGCACATTTACATTTTATCATCACAGGAATCTCTTTCCTTGTCGTTTTGTTGTCACAGTGAGATGATGTTTAGAAGACACAGTTAGATACTCACAAAGAAAGGGGGAGATAAGATAATGTAGAAAAGTTTCATGCATGTTTGTGGCATAGACAAACATGCAGTGATGTACAGCACCACATCCCTTTCTATCTTAATTCGAGGTGTTTTTGTCAGACTGATGCAGGCGAGGAATAGAAACTGTTTTTTGCCATGCAAAAAGGTCCAGTGCTGAGGTTTGACTCTCAGTGCAGAGGAAGGCTCTCCGATCCCTCTTGGAGATGACACTAATGCTCTCTCTCCCTTTGTCTTTCCTCAGCATTTCTCAGAAAACCTGGATCACTTCTCAGAAAACATGGAGGATTTCTCCAATGACCTCTTCAGCAGTTTCTTCGATGACCCAGTACTGGCTGAGAAGAACCCTCTGCTGGACATGGACCTGGACCCACCCACTCCAGGCATCCAGGCAGAGCACAGCTATTCCCTCAGTGGAGACTCTGCTCCCCAGAGCCCCCTTGTGCCTGTCAAGACTGAAGATAATGCTAACGGTGAGCATGAGATGTGCACACTGCACAGCTTTGGGCACCTCTGTTAGCAGAGGCTCTGTCTGGCTTTCATATATTATGACAAACTGGCTATTCCTTGGACTTGCACATGTCCAATCCAGGGAAAAATTTGATTTGCTGTTGTCAAATGCAGCCCACATTTTTCCCTTCCATTTGTGCTGTGATAGTCACATTACTTCTTTGCTGGGCTTACTGTTAATTATGAGGATGATAATTGGCTGTGGCTTAGTGTGCTGCCAGCTTCTGGCAAGCAACAGGCAATGTCTTTTTAGAAACCTGCAAACTTGGGTGTGGATGCCCTAGATCCAGCTCCGTTTTGGCATCAGGCAGCAGGGTTTTGGCTTGCACATAGGAAGCATGAGTCTCTGGCTGCAACCAGTGCTGGTACATGTGGAAAGCAAAGTGGCTTCTTTACCAGCAGATCTTTTAGCAGGAGACAGAGGGGAACAGTCATTTCAAAACTTATTTTTAAAACAATTCATTTCAGGATAATTTATGATGGCTGGGTATTTTTAGAGCTGTCTTTACAGAGAGTCCTGTAATTTGTGGGATTGTGTGGGTGTCCCAACAGCTGATGGACACCAGGCTGCCTGAAAAAGCAGTGGCAGAGACTCAGGATACACATAAGACAGCTATTCCTTTGAGCAACAGTGAAACCTGGGACAGAGGCTTCCTCTCATGACTAGGAATGATCCCAGCTTTCTGGTACAAATGCCAAGGCAGAAGGAGAGAAGGCTGGCCTCTGCTACCTCTGTGGTCCTTGAAAAGGCACAGCCATCTGCCACATTCCTTAGGGGGATCTCAGAGAGATGCTGAGAGAGAGGTTTATGGCAGGCCAAGCAACTCTGCCTTGGTACCAAAAAAGCTTTCAATTTGCATTTCTTTTTCCTTAGTTTTAACCCCAAACCAAAGTCTTGGAGGGGGCAGCTAACAAAAAAACCCCAAACCAGTGTGAACAAATAAACACAACTTTCTTTTGCCCCTGAAAATGAATAGGAGGAGATAAGACTTGAGAATGAGAGAAGCCAAAAGAATGCTTTTGTAGAAAGCAGTGAAATGAAGACTGCCGGCATGAAGCTATCTCAAGGACTCCTCTCTGAGACACTTAGCACCACTTCTCCTTCTCTCCACTGTCTGCACATGCCCTTCCTTCAGCTGTTATGTCTCAAAGGCAAGACCATGGCTCTCTTGAATGGAGTGTGACACTGATCCTTGGGCAGAGGCCAGCACAGGGTGTACAGTGCATAACCCAGGAGAGTTTGAGATGGGCCTGGCACTTGCTCTCTGAGAGTGCAGATCAGTTTCATAAGGGAGTAAGGCCTAGCATTACAATGGCAGGTATAGGAGTATCCATGCACCCAGTCCTGCAGCTAGATAATTCAGCTCATCTTTCCAGGGCTTTTTTGGCTCATAATTGCATGTGAGTCATATTCTAGTGAAACCCTGAGTCAGGTCCAGTATTTGCAACACTGTGCAGTCCTTTTGGCACAGCTCCATTCAGTCTCAGTCCTTTTAGACATTCAGTTCCAATTAATTACCCAGAAATGGTTTTTCTTTAACATTAAGCAAGCTCTGCTCAGTCTGCAGAGCTCCTCAGGAATGCCCCTGCTCTGTCTAGGCTTGGAGCTGGCTGAGGCTTGCTTTTTATCAGCTTTCTCCCAGCTTTTCTGCAGATCTCCAAAACTCTTCCAAATCCTGCCCCTTCCCACATGGTTCCCACTAACACAGGTCAGCTAGGGCAAGCCACTGGGTGCATTGTGACCCTGCTTATCATTGGAGTCTGCTTTCCAGATGGCTTGTGCATACGGACTGGCTGCTTCATTCCTCAGTACCAGGCCTGAGTTCTGCAGGGTGTGATTTGATGCCAGGAGCAGAACAGTGAGCATTGAACCAACCTCTGGTTAGTGCCTGCCCTCCTGTACAGGTCCTGCTTTCTCACTGCTCTTTGCCTCACCTCCTCAGCCCTGGGCAGCTGCAGCTATCTCTCAGCCGTATTTCTTCCCAATACGTAGAGAGCATCTACAGAATGTCTAGAGCAGAGGATGAGTGTCTTGGCATGCTTCATCCACCAACATACAGTGAAATCTGCAGTGTTACAGTGTTACCTCTGAAACATCCTCTCAGGCAGCAGAACCTAGACGTGTCCACAAGAGATGCCTACTCCTCAGTCCCTCATTGACCCTCTGATGCCTTATTTGTCTCTGATTCTGTAACCCAGTCACTCCCCAGAAGAATCTCTGAGGGTGGGAAAGAGAGCAGGGTCAGAATGTAGACAGGAAATGGGAGGACGGCACATACTTATTTGGGTGTCTGCTCCTTGGCCTGTCTGGACTGACAGCACTGGGGGCTGCTCCCTCACTGAGTCAAGTCTGATCAGGGAGAGCCCTTGGTGGTCTGCTCTCCCTTGTCTGGTAACTTGCTTCAGCAGCAGCCCTCACAGAAAGAGGATACCCCACACATCTGAGAAAAAGAGAAATGCAGATCTTTGCAACAGAAAGGATGAGGAGGAAAAGGCTTCAAATGACAGTAAGGAACTTCAGAGTAGTCAGTAGGCAAAATGTTCCCACAGTGGGCATAGCAAAACCAGAGAAGAGTTTAAATGGGGGAAGCTGTGAACTCTTCAGCACTTTTCAAAGGGGTAGGTTCAAGTGAATCATCTATCAGGACTGACACAGATTTACTTGAACTTGCCTAGAGCAGTGAGATAGACTGAAAGATCTCTCAAGATCCCTCATTTCTGTGAAAGGCAGAAGTCAGTCCAAATTTTCTGGGTGCAAACCACTTGCGGCTGTGTGACACTTTGCCTCCTTCCATCAGAAGGGGTTTGTCTGCATACCAGAGTAACTAGGACTTCACTACTAGCTGTGGGTTCAGTGTCCTTAGCAGGACAGAGAAAACACAATCCTCTCTGTGTCTACTCAGTAGGCTCTGTGTTGTCTCAGCTGTACAGTGCACCCCTGCCTGAGATGCTGCCTGATGACATTAGCCCTGCTGCATTGTGGGAAGCTCTAGAGAGCAATCCAGCAGCACTGAGAGCAGCACATGCAGCTGAGACACACAAGCAGCAGCAACAGGAGCTGTGTCTGTGCTTGACAACGTCCAGTCACAGAGGCAGCTGGAAGGAATGAGCATCTGCTAGAGAGACCTGTCTAGGCAGAAAGAAGAGGTGCTAGACCAAAGACAGGAAGACAACACATTCCATTGGCAAGGCCAACACTGTGTTATCATATATAATTCTTGTCTGGTCTTTAACACTGCTGTGCCAAGCAAAGCTCAGAGGTAGGATTCTGCCCTGGCCTCTCCTGAAAACAGAGGCTGAGTAGGGCAAAGACAGTGTTAACGTACCTTTAATTTAGATCAGATGGCAGCTCCCACATGAACAGCTGCTTGTTTGTACTCTTCTTCGTGCTGGCTATTCTGGAGCAGAGAAAGACCTTTATCCCTCTCTCCTCTTGCCAGGACATCTTCTAGACTGAGACCTGCACTGCAGAAATTAAATCTGCAGATTAATCTTTAGAACAAACAAAGAAGTGTTTGTTCTATTCATTATCCAAATCACAAATTGTTACAAGCAAAATTGAGTTTTAGAGAAAACTCAATTTTTTTTTTTTTACTTAATAAAGTAAATTATACTTTATATATCTTTATACTTAATGAAGTAAATGCTTGTAAAAAAAATGTTGACAGGTATGATTACTTGTTTTTACTGTTTTTAGAGAAAACAGAGCTGTGTGCTCTGGGCAGCAGACAGCTAGGCAACATCCCTGGGCCTGACTGAGAGTGCTGCATGCAGAAAGCAGTGCAGAGAGGTTAGAGAGTGAGTCAGACTGTGGCCTTGTAGAGGCACCTGGAACTCTCTCTGGTTCTCACTTAGCAATAGTCGGCCCTATGTCAAGCCAAATGTATTTTTGCTTGTCAGATAAAAAGGGAAAGGGAATGGATGAGGATTAGGAAGGAGGGTGCAAGGCTGCAGGCCAGCTAGGAGTAGCCTTTTGGCAGGCTGAAGTATTTGAAGGGCAAAGACCAATACTTCAGAGCAGAGCCTAGGCAGCTCTCCCGCCTAGCAGTCCTCTTCCCATCTGATCTGCAGTTCATCTGGGATCTCTACTTCCAGTGGCAAGCCAGGCTCACACCACAGATGTGCAGGGACAGAGCAGACAGGAGGCAAGGGGAGCATGCCTCCATGGCTCCATTTAGTTCCTTTTCCCTCACTGGTGCTTCTTGTCCCTGCCATCAATGGCAGCAGGGTACAGCTGTGGACAGCAGTCCCCTGAGCAGCCCAGGGGAGAGAAGAGTCTCAGAGGTGAGACTGAGGGGAGCAGCTGTAGAAGCAGCCTCACAAGCAGGTGCTGCAGTGGGCTTCCTTCCACAGAAATGGACCTTCCTCCTCTTCTGTCCTGCAGCAAAGCCCTGATAGTTGGCACAACATCATCAGGCGGCCAAAGCATCACTGTCAGCCTTTCACTGTCATCATGCTTGCTCTCTCACCAGCTCTCCAGGACAGAGATGGTGCTATTCTTGGTAAATCACCTAGCAGCTCTGTGATGCTGGCCATGCTGCCTAAGGAGCAACAGCTCAGCCTCCTCCTCTCACTGAGCCCTAAATATAAATAAGCTCCAGAGGATGAGACCTAGACATTACTGGGGGAAGAAACCCTGCAAGTGTCCTCCAGAGCTTGGGCTGTACAGTCAGAGCCTAGCAGAGACACAATTCTCCTATCTCTATCATGTCTGTGTGGGGAGACATGATAGAGATAGAGGAATTGTGTGGGGAGCTCCCCACTATGTGGGGAGCACATACTGGGGAGCACACACTGGGGGTTCATTCCCTTTTGTACTCTGTGTTGTGGGCCTGCATATGCTTGTGTGGTGACAGTGCTAAACTTGGAAAAGCAGCCTCCTCAGTCAGAGGAAGTTGTCTGCATGGCTTCTTTTCTCCCTACCCTCTTCTTGCTGGAGTTTGATTCTCATGTTGTGCATGTTTCAGAGCTGGAGAATGGAGTGTGGTCACTGGGGCCCAAACTCTGCTCCATCATGGTGAAACAGGAACAGAACCTGCCTCTAGAGCTGCCTGAGTCCCAGCTACCTGCCAGCTCCATACCAGTGCTGAACCTCAACCCTCTGCAGAGACTGCCACTCCCCGAGGAGGTGAGCCCATTTAAGATCTGTTGGGAACCTGGGCTCTCACACAGCAGCACCCCTGGTGGTGCAGACGCAGACATGTGACCGCAGGGTCCTGCAAGGTGATTTAGCTACTGAACAGACAGGAGAAGGTGTTAGAAAGCCCAGATACTGTATTATTTGTCATTCTCCTCTTGAAATGGCAGCACAGAAGGCTTTACAATCTTGGTTAAATAGAAGCATGTTTCCTTGGCACAAAAGCCAAAAGCTTTAAGCTTGCATCTACTGGAGATCTGTCCCCTCCAATATGCCAGTATTTCTGCAGCCACTCTTGGCTTATTTTCATTTTTCAGAGAACGGTGTCAATTAATGTGATGCCAGTGACCTCACTATTCCTCCATATAGACTCCTGCTCTGCCACTGTCTTTTTCATGGCTTTGGATTTGTCACATGGCCTCTCACTCTTTGTAGCTGCTCACTGGAAATGTTGGTTGCACTCCAGGTCCTGCTTGCTTTTTCCTATGAAGCAGCAGGATTTATTATTTCTGTGTAACCAGGGACCAACTCTTTTGGTCATATCTAGGTTCTTAAGAAGTCTGTTTGTCTGAAGGAGGTTCACTTATGCCACTGGTATGTGGGTGTAAGTTGAGGGCTTAGTTCAGCTGGCCTTGAGTCCAGCTGTGTTGGATGAGAAGGTCTGACCAGTCTCACACAGACCTTGCCTATCTTGTAGCAGCTCAGTAGATAACAGTAGAGCATCTCTGGGGTTCACTTCCTTTTTTCACTCATGTTGAACATCTTCCCATTTAAACAACCATCCAAAACAAATGGGTTCTTCCAGCCAAAACTGTGCACAAACTTCCTCTATTATTTACACAGCTTGAACTTGGTGTGCCCTCCAATCTCTGCTGTGTATGCTCAGCAGCCATACCATGGTGCTCTCTCAGCTGTGTTTACAGTCTGGAGGAGTTTGCAATGTGTCTGTTTAGTGTAAAAACTCCACTCTGTGGTGGGCTGGGGGCTGGCAAGCCAGGAGGCTGAGGGGCAGCATAACACAGATGGGAGTAAATCTACTCTTTATTCAGCTCTCAGTCCCCTTCAATTGGAAACAGTTGCCCAGTGGCCCTGGTGAAAGTCACATGAACAGGACAGCATGGTTGTTCTGTTTCTGTAAAACCTCTACACTCCCATTTATAATGAAAGCAAATCAAAGAGGTACTTCCCATGGTAACGCAGGGGTTGGTTTAAATTACACTGTCTGGGTCTGTCAAAGGAAGAATTGCCAAGAATAAAAGTCATCTCCCTTTTGGAGATACTCAGCTCGGTGCATTGCTTGGCAGCACATCCATCTTCCAGTGCCACTTCCTCTGTAAATGTGTTTGCACTCTGTGTGCCCAGCAACTGAGACTTCAGGGCTTATGTTTGAACTCTTGGTTTCCTCCATGGTGAGAGGTTCCTTTGGGGCAGAGGTGTGAGATGGGGCAGGACAGGCAGCAGGGGACCAGTGGCTATGGACAGAACTGGTGGGAGCCTTCTGGGCAGGGGACATGGCAGTGGCCAAGGACTCTTTTGGCTTCTCTTCCACAGGTTCCTATAGAAATGACTCCAGCACCTGTGATCAAAGCTGAACCCAAAGAGATGAACCAGTTTCTAAATGTACCTACAGGTAAGAAGATAGAATTCCCTGGTCAACTATATTACGTAGATTGTTATTATACAGGGTGGAAAGACAAAACACTTAAAAGCAGAGCTGTGCATATGAGGTAGCACTGGGGCAGAGAAGAACAGAGGAGTGGGCACTGCACTGTTCTAACTCAGATCAGTGTCTGCATCAGGAGCCACAAACAAAATTGTTCAGACAGGGACTCCCAGGCAAAACAGGCTACTTCAGAGTTGGAAATATGCAAGAGTGCCTTTAAAATCCTCAGAGAGACTGTAGAGCTATCCAAAAATAACCATCTGAAAGTCAGGAAATTCAGGATCCAGTTTAATTTGAAAGAAACCCAAGCATCTGAAAATCTGCCGATGCACAAATGAAAGCACTATGGGAACTCCCACTGCCGCAGAGAGACATTCCTTAGGCACATTCCCACCTCCATTAAGGCCCCTAGGGCTCTCCAGTACAAAGTGGGGACAGTTTTCAAGTGCTTGGAAACCAACTGAGTGACCGGAGCCCTGTTGGATCAAGTGTGCTGGCAAGTGTGTGAGCCCTGCAGTGCTTTTGGAAGAGCTTTGCTCTCACAGTTTCCTGTACTTGTGAACAGGCTATGGAGCAAAACATCACAGGCTTTTTACTTCATTTTGGTTGACAGTGGAGGACCTTATTGCTTTGTAAATACCTTCAGTTCCTTGGCAAAGCCCTGCCAGCTCCTCTGCAGTTCCTAGTTTAGCACATTTGAGGTCAGTCTAACCTCTGTCTTGGGCAGTGCTCAGTCAAGCCTTTTTCTCAGACTCACCCCATCTTGTGAATTTCATCATCCTCTCCTTTCAGCCCTGTGTTATGGCAGGGGGCATAACCCTGTGCCTGTACCAACAGGCTGACATGAGAGCCATTGACTTGATCTCCTTATTCCTCAGTAGATGACCTGGTGCAGATGCCTCCAACTCCACCCAGCAGCCATGGCAGTGACAGTGATGGATCTCAGAGCCCTCGGTCCCTGCCTCCCTCCAGCCCAGCCCGGCCTGCTGCTCGCTCTTCTACTGCCATCTCCTCCTCACCTCTCCTCACAGCACCACATGTAAGGAGGCAACAGGGCTGGGACACAGGGCTCCTTGCTGCTCAGAGGGGTTTGTAGGATTTTCAGGGCTTATTTGGAGGTTCCTGCCCTTGCTGATGTCTTCAGGCTGAAATGCTCTGTCAAGGCAATGTGATATCTTAGCACAAGGATAAACGCTCACAGGAGTGAGAAGAGGCACAATGAATCTTGCATATCTACCAGCAGCTACCTTGTTTTAGCAGGTGCTGTCTTTCATCCATACTTTGGGAAGTGGCCTATGCACTAAGAGGACTTTCTGAGAAGGCTAATGAGAGAGAGGAATTATTGGAAATTCCCATAACCAGACCTTGTTAACTGTTGCCCAGAAGTTTGTTGGCACAGTGCAAGTGTGTAGCCAGACTCACTGTGAAGGAACAGATGTCCTCCCAAGTAAAAGAGGAAAGGAGTTGCTGAGCTGTGCCCCAGAATCAGGTTGAGAGTAGGAAAGAGCACTGCCCTGCACCTGTTTGGTGTCAGTGGGCAGCAGTGTATTCTGTTCTGATGTGTACAGCCTCTGGCTGCTCTGCAAGGCTTTAAGGAGGATCACTAGGGTAGAACTCCTTGCTGACACTGATGAATGCTCTCTGTGTGTTTCAGAAGTTACAAGGAACCTCTGGCCCACTGCTCTTGACTGAAGAGGAGAAGCGCACCTTGATCGCAGAGGGTTACCCCATTCCTACCAAGCTGCCCCTCACCAAAGCAGAGGAGAAAGCACTGAAGAGGGTCAGGAGGAAAATCAAGAACAAGGTGACTACAAAAAATGTAATCATTCAGTTCCCATGATTCCAGACCATCTTCAGCTGACCAGTGCTATAATTACCCTCACCTCCTCAGCGCCACTGCAGCTCAGAAAAGGTGGGATTGTGCCTTTGGCGCACTAGCATGAGCCTCCCAACCCACAAAAATGCTGACAAAGGGCATCTCTGCTTGCATGCTTTGCATACAGCCATACCTGGGAAGTGTGGCTTCCAACCCACTTCCTGAGACTGTGTAGTGTGGAATAGGGTCCACAGATCAGACAAATTGGTCAGGTCAGGCCTTGTTGCAAGGACAGGGAAACCAAAGCCATTGCATGGTTCAGGACTGGTGATGCAGAGTGTTCACTAGCCAGGCAGAGGCTGTGATACTTCAGACTGGGATTAGAAAGCATCCTGTGGGAGAAATGGTGAGACTGAACTAATCACCCAGTGACTCAGAAGTGGCCTGGGGCAGAATCAGCCCAAATGGCCACAGCTCATACACATGTGAGTCAGTGGAGTGGAATGCAACCCCGAAGATGCTCTCAGCAGCGAGGGGCATAATGCAACAAATTGGTTGCAGGCTACAAACCAAGGAGGGTTGCATACCTACAGCACCAATCCCCCCCACCCCAATTCTGACCTAGAGATCAGCAGGAATGTCAAACTGGAAGGCAACTCCCCATTTGCCTCTAGGATGCTGTGCGTGCAGGAGACAGACAAGATGCATGAGCCACAAAAAAATATCCAGAGGAGTATGATACTGACTCCCCTCTGCCCCCTAACAGATCTCTGCTCAGGAGAGCCGCAGGAAGAAGAAAGAGTATGTGGAATGCCTAGAGAAAAAGTAAGTTTCTTCTTCTCAGTCTTACTTTGAAAAAAGGAATCCTCACCATGCACAGGCTGCCTTTCTAGTGTTTTGTCTCTGAATTGCTCAAATAATACAATTCTTTGCAAGGCTGGCTGCCCAGGAGTTTGGTTTGGGATCCTGCCCCTACTCTCCTCCCTCCTAGAAATCCTCTTGCGGGATAAAGATTGGGCAAGATATTTTGTGTTTCCAACTGCTTCATTTGGCTCTCCCCTGCAAAAGACAGGCCATTTTGGCTGCCAGCAAGGTGGGATTTTGGGTTTCCCCACTAGAAGTTGCTTCTATTTTGTCTGTCCCATAAGTGGCAAGCTCTCTGAGGGCACTGATCATGGCTTTTTCCCCCTCTCTTCCCATGAAGGTGGACACACAAATACTTGACAGCAAGAAAAACTTTGCGTTGCAGCTATTCCCCACTCTCCCCCACTTCCACTCTCTGCATTAGCTTTGTTTTTCTGCTTGCAGCCTTGTTTTTCTATGCAAGGCAGGCATAAGCCTAAGGTGATGTCACATGACACTGACTGGGTGGAAAATAACTCCTATACTAGCAACCCCTAATGTGCATTCCCAGGCAAAGAAGAATGCTGCAACCCAGGCACAAATTCATGTTTCTGTATAATTACCATCTTCTTCCCAGTTACTAGCACCATCTGAGATCAGCAAATGGAAAAAAACAACCCCCAAACCCAACTTTAACTCTTCTCCCTGATGCTATTTCTCTTCTATAGTTGCACAGAAATGCTCAATTGAAGCAGATGATTCAAGGCGCCTCAGTGTGCACGGGTATGTCCAGGCATCAGAGCACATCACCTCCAGCTAGTGTCCCATATGGGGACCTTCAAGCCAGGGCTGGGGAGCTGGCTGACCTCGCTCAAAGGGCAGGTCCAGGGCGTTTGGTGGTGGGGCCTCCTCCCCAGATGTGGCTGTGGTGCCTGTATGTACTAAGCAGTTTGTTACGCTAGAGCATTGCTATGACAGATGGCTTTCAAACAATGCCAGGTTTAAATGTGAACCAAAAGCAGCATTCAGTGATTTTTTTTTTTTTTAATAGAACATGTCTTTGGTCAGCTTGGCTTACTAAAAAGTGGTTTGTCAAAGCCTGTACTTGGGCCCTTCTCCATTCAGTTTGACACTTTTGCTGGTAGCCCAGTTTTTGCACGGAACGCCTGGTTCAAAGGCTGTGCTGCAAACCTCCAGCAGGATCAGGCTGTGTCTCTGGCTTGCTTTTCTCCCGACCTGGAGGCACTCCCCTTCCCTTGTCCCAGCTGCAGCCCAACCACTTTCCCGTCGGAAGCGGTGGGAAGGAGCCTGCAGGTTCTCTGCTGCCCTCAAGTGCCTGCAGTCGGAGCTGGCCCAGCGTTTGCACAGAACCGCCTGGATTTCACAGCCAGGGCGCAGAGCCCAGGGCAGGTTCTCAGGGAGGGGTTTGACTTTGTCCCCCTCCTCCATTTTCATGCTTCTTAGGGGGGTTTGGAAGTGATGGAAATGTCTGCATAACTTTGGGTCTGTCCTGACTTGATCTGCCTGTAACCAGGTGCTCCTGTCTCTCCCAACCCTCAGAAGACCCTGAACTGGGAACTGTCACATGTAACTGCCCACCTGCAGTTTCATCCCTGCTCCATTGGGGCTGGCTGCAGTCTGGTGGGCCAAGTAACATTTGATTTCAGGACCATATCTGCAGGTGACACATGAAGCCACTGAGCCTCCATACCCCATGAGAAGCGAGGACTGCATTGTCTTAATCTCTCTGGCCTTTGTGACTAACCGGCTGTGGGTTTTATTCCCATAGGGTAGAGACATACACAACAGAAAACAATGAACTCTGGAAAAAAGTGGAGACCTTAGAAAACGCAAACAGGTAAGAGGAGCTAGACTTGGCCCTCTGTGGGTAGGGTAGGGTGGGTAGGAAGGGAAGTCAGGAGCACTGGAGTGGGGGGACAAGAAGAGAAAAGCAGGCTTCTCCAGCTCTGGTACGGGTGCTGCTTGGTGAGGTGCTGGTTTTCAGCCCATGACAGCAACGAGGCAGCTGGGTTTGGTTAGTGAGCCTGGAATGTTTGTGTTGGGACGCCAGGACACACTGCAGCAAGGGGAGGGAGGGAAGGCATGTTTCCCATAGCGCTTCGTCCTTCTCCCTGCAATCCTTTGGGCTCGTGCTGCCTTCTCCATTCCCCTCCAGGGCTCTGTCTGTCTCCAGGGCAGATGCATTGAGGCCTCTCACAGCAGCCTCTCAGACCCGCTGTTTCTGCTTTTGGGCTCTTCAGAGAAATCAAAGGCCCTGGGTATATTGTGGCTGTTTCAGGTTTCTCGTGAGAGAGCTGAACAAACTTGGTGAATACAGGGAAAGCCCATTATTCTAATAAAAGTAGAGATCCCAACTCCCACCAGATCCAGGGCAATTTGTTGTGCATGTGGTGTTCCAGCCCTTTCTCAGCCTCTTTTGGGCAAAGCAAGCCCAAAGAATCTGTCTCATCTGCTGCTACTGCTCACCTGAAAGGAGCAAGCTTGCTCCCACAGCCCCAAAGTTCTCTCACCCAAGGCTCTGGGTTTCCTCACGGGAAGCTCTGGTGAGCACTTGTGCTTCTTATATGCAGAGCTGGCCAACCAATAACCAGGGGAATTTGCTTCCTTGGAAGCAAATAATGAAGACTTCCACCCTGCAGTGGGGATGGGCAGCTGGAGCTAGAGGAGAGCCCAGCTCTTCCCCCTCTTACTGGGCACAAAAGGTGTGAGCAAGGGCAGGGTAAACTGCAGGGGATGCTTGTCTCTGTAGCTCCATTTTTATCAGCTCAAATTGAAGGGGAGAACCACAGCCAAAGAGCCAGTTCCTCACTCACTCCTCAGCTGCCATGACAGCTCATGGAGTACTCCTGGAGGCTTCACTGCACACCTTCCTCCCATCCACAACACGAGTGCAGTGGCCTTGGCTTCCAGGCCTGACACTGGTGCTGGGACTGGGGCTTGCCAGGCATGATCTGGCTGAGGTGTGCGAGAGCCAGAGGTCTCCTGTCTGCCAGAGATACAGCTGCTCTCATGCATGGGGCACAGCTTGCCCCCCTGGCCTCTCTGGGAGTGTAGGCAGCCCTGCTGCTGGAAGAATGTGAGACCCACCCTGAAAAGTAGGATGCTGGCCTAAAAACCAAGAGATTTTAAATTTTTTCCCCTAAAATATACATTGTGTTCTTTCTAATTAGGTTTGGATTTTGAGCACTGCCAGTGGGACACTCTGTGCTTCTCTCCCTCCACATGTACAGGGAGAAAAACAGGATTTGGAAAGGGATAAAGCTGGGATTCTCCTGCAATCTCCTGGTTCCAGGACCTGGCATTTTATGAAAGCTCAAACATATTTGTGTAAAACAGTCAGTGCTCCCAGAGGGAAAGTCTGCAATAGTCTCCATTTCAATAATATGAAACTCTTGGGAACTGTGCACTCTGTAGTCTCCCTCATCCCAGATTCCTTCACCAGCTCAGTGAGGGGTTCAGTAGTTCTTGGTAACACTACCACTGTTTTGTGTTATGTGTGCAGATGCCCATGAACAGTTAAATGGGGCAGAGAGACCTTAGCATGTGTTCCAACCAGGGCAGTCAGAGAATTAATTAATTGCTGAACTCAAGATTTGGCTTTGCCTACATACCTCTGCAGAATTTGCCAAGACTGAAGAAGCTCAAGGGGATCACAACTGTTTATTTCTCTCTCCACCACAGTTTGGGGCACAAGTCGAGCTTCAGAGTACGTGTCTCTGAATGAAGTGGGAGCAGGCAAGCCTGTGCTAAAGGTCTGACCTGTCTACAAAGTTCAGCCTCCATGCCAGAGCTTGGTTTTCATGGTATGCTGGCTCTCCACTGCTCTGGGAATTGACTGGCTGGGCTTTCAGGCACCCAGAAGTCCTAAATAATAGTCATTCATAATAGTGGGTAGGTGCAGTGAAGGTGGTGGTGGACCCACTGATAACACCTTTTTTTTGTTGTTTCCCAACCAAGCCTGTTTGGTCAGAGAACTCAAGTAATGTACAGCAAAGGGGAGATAGTTGTTTGCACAAGAAGGGAAAATCAAGGTACAATGTGAAGCGGGTAGTGGTATTCTTGGCTCACTTACTGGCTTCTACCTCCTTACTAAGTTTTGATATGCATTGTTTCCTATCACAGGACTCTGCTCCAGCAGTTACAGAAGCTTCAGGCTCTGGTAGCTGGGAAAGTCTCCAGACCTTATAAAATGGCTTCCACGCAGACTGGGACCTGTCTAATGGTATAAGCTTCATTTCCATCTTCTTTATTGGCCATGCTTCTCCAGACAGCTTTGTTGATTGCCTGTCTCTGCCCTCTTCCCTGCTGTCCAGTTCTGTTGTCAGTTACATCTGCTCTTTCCTTTTGTGTTACAGTCACCAGAGCTGGGCCCTGTGTCATACATACATCAGTTGTTTATGCAACAAAATTAGAATAATTCCTGCATTTTCACTGCCTTCTTCTTTGGGCAAAAAAGCACTTTGTTTGCTTTTCATTACCTATTAGCCATTCAGCAAAAATCTTCAATGAGTTTCCATTGTAATGGGCAGAGTTTTCTTTTGCTGAGCTGGTAATGCTTAATGTTTAACTCAGCAGGACAGATGAACACTCCAAGTATTCATCCCAGTGGGCTTTACCTTGTGTTTATCAGCAAGAAATGGCATCTGTTCTTGCTATGCCTGCATATAGGCTTTGTTAAATACAGCTGGAATTCTCTTTGTCCTTTTGACTAACCATAATAATTTGGGGTTGTCTGTTGTTTTGGTAATCCTATTTGCCTCATAGTGGAGGATCATGGTTAATAAATATTGGCTTCATTAAGGAGTTTTAGGGCATGCCAGTGTGTAGCCATAAATAGAATAAATTGCTTATTCTTCATCTCTTTTTTTTTTTTTTTTTTTCTGGGGGAAATTTCTGATCCATACTAAAAATAAAATCTTCACCCCTGTGATGTCTTTGCAGGATTGACATAGTAGCTGCTCGTGACAAATTTGTCAGTTAGTTTTCTATATCTGGTTATCACTTCTGTACTGTTAGCAGTCACAAAATGCAAACAGATGGTGAGGTACTTGCCCCACTTTCTCAGCACCCTCAGTGTCCTGAGGGATTGTTTTTTGGTCCCGGTTCAATGAGTTTCCTTCGTTCCAGAGCCCTCACTCTGTAATTTCAAGCACTTCCTCCTTTCAAAATCTGCTCAACCTTTCACTACTCTTTGCTGCCCCCATGTCAGACCAGATTTTAATGACTGTCTTTTTTTTTTTCCCTGCTCTCTGTCTTCATTCCCAAGTTCTTTCCACATTTTTGGGTGTGACCCAGCTGAGCCCAGTGACTCATTGCTCCTTAATGCAGCAGCTCATCAGAGCACCCCTGGCTCCAGCAATTCTTCATTGCTACTACCTGGAATAAACAAGTCTAGAAGAGGTGCCTTGCAGACATCCTCTGTGCTACAGGCTGATATAATATCTAATTTAGCTTCCCAACAATGTCCTAGGTCTCCTTGCTGCTCCCTTTGTTGCAGGCATCCCAGCCCACACACCCACTTCTCTCAGACTTCCTAGCTTTGAAGCATTTCAAGAATTTGTAATTTGCTTTTCTGTCTTTGACCAGTTCCTTTCATAAGCCTCTGAGTTCTCATTTTCCATTTTCAAATACAGCATTCCTTATTATGACAGATATATAGAATCATTGTGTCTTGCAGCATGGGAGTGGAGCAGGCTACCCTTCTTCTTTAGCCCTGTGTCATTGCTGCTGAATATTTGTACTGCAACTTCTTGAAGTCCTCCAGTGGTGAGCAGTCCTCTGCCTCCTCAGGCAAACCATTCCAGTGCTATGTTATCTTTCCCAGATAAAGCTTTCTTGCTATCTCATCTCAATCTTCCTTGCAGCAGCTTAAGCCTATTAGAACTTATTCTGCCCATTGTAAACAAGATCTGTTTATTCTCCCTTTGGGTACCTTCATTTTACATATTTGAAAACTCTTGGTTTTGAGCAATTCCCTTCAGTTTGGTCTGCTAAATAACCATGATTTCTTCAGTTTTCCCTCAAAGGCTGAGTTACTGAATCACTGCTTGTTCCCAGAGCTATCTTCCAGATTTTCTCCAATGGCCCTGCATCTTATTGGAAGTATAGGGCCCAAAGCTGGGCGTAGTGTTCCACCTGAAGGCCAGTACAAATCCAGCCAGAAAGCCTGTTCATAATGCTTGGGCTGAGATTTGCCCTTTGCAAAGTGACACTGACCTGGACCCATCTTATGTATAAGTTTAACTCCCAGAGCCTCTTCTGTAGGACAGCTGAAACACATAGCCACTGATGTATTTCCCTTGTTAATCACTCCTGCCACCTCAGAGCTATCAGCAGGCCTCCACATTTGTCTGTACAGATCTTCCCACTGTTCTTTTGGACCATTTCTTCCCATGGTCAAGATCTTTCCAAATTTGAATACTGACCAGAAACCAGTCTGCTTATAGTCTCTCCCATTTGCAGATTTGATACAGTCCATCATTTAAGTCAAGCTTAAAAACGCTGAATCTTGCCAGATCTGTAACAGATCTCTCTGCTACTCCATCTGCTACTTCCTCACAGTTTGACAGTGAACCTTTGATAAATACACTCTCAGTATGTCTTTTTTTAATTATTAAATTGCTTCCACCTTTCCAAATGGTTTTGCAGTAGTCGTCTCTAGCTTAATTTCCCTCAATTTTAAGAGGTCAAATAATGAGATGGTCAAAAGCTGTGACATAAATGTTACTCAGAATCAAGCCAAGAGTTCCTGTTATGAAGGGTTGTAGAGTTTGAACTAGAAGTGAATCAGAGCATCAGAGTTAACCTGAAACAAAACAGTAAAAACAGTGCTGTTTTGCAAAACCCCAGCTGAAAGCCATGTTAAAACAAGATGTTAAGTATACTGCTCTTTCTCAGCCCAAAAAGCCTGGTTTTTTTTAGAAGGAAAGAACAGACTTTACAGGGCTGGCTCCCTTTTCTCCAAGTTGTGTGTTTGGCTGTGATAATTCCAAGCAACATCCATTCAGAATTTATTTTTTCCTCTGTTTTTGTTGAATAAGGATTCTAAATTTTTCACGTGCCTGATATGACACGTTTAGACAGCGTCTATGCTGCCTTCCTTTAATGTCCTTACTTTAAAATCAACCATGAAGAGTCTGGACAATTAAAATCCCTCTTTATATAACATAGTATCCCCATGTTACTATTTCATCTCCACATCTCCTGGAATCCACTGGTGGTCAAAATTACCTTAATGTACCAGCTTCTGTGTATTACTTAGGCACAGGTATTTCAAAATAGGTGACTTCTGAAAAGCAGGCAAGCAATTGCTGGTTGTCCCCACAGGCATCCACCCAGATCAAATTTGCTGTTTTATACATAGGTAGTAGACATCAGCAACAGATGCATCACCTCTTTGGCTGTTCAGTTTGAGCACTGAGCTGGCAGCAGGTAGTTACAGAGCATGCATGGTGCATGAGTGTTCAATAATTTGGCTCTGTACCATTTCCCATGTGTGTCTTCTTGCTCTGTACTGGCAGTTCCCTAAGCTCTGTACAGTCCCTTATGATCAGCACTGGCATTTCACTCTGAAGCTTTACTGTTATGGCAGAATTTCCAGATAGCTCCCGACCTACCTGAGGGGGATTTCAGGGAAGATTTCCTGTACCTTTCTCCTGTTATCACTGCCTAGTAGCTCTGACTGGGCTGCCTGATAGCAGAAGGAACTGACACATGGTCATGCATACCTACATGTCAAGCATAAATTTAACCCTTTCCTAGAATTCTGCATCTTTACTATCAGGTATTAGGCAACTGCAGTTCTGCTGTCATTTCTGTCCTTGCAGGGATAGTAGCTTCACTTTGCTCTGTGTGTAGTTCCTCACAGATTTCTCCCAGTGGGCTTGTTTTCTTTACAGCCCACAACAGCTCCTGCTAAGCCAATGGTCAGGTTCCATTTTGTCAAGGCAGAATTTGTCCCTTCTGTTGAGTCTCCCTTTTTTCAGCTTGTTTCTCAGCTATGCCTTCTACTATCTCTCCTCAATAGAACAGGCAAGTTCTCACAATTGAACCAGAAATACTCCAAATAAAGTAACAAGAGGAAGTTTCTGACTTCCCTTATTGAATTTGCAACAGAGATTAGTACAGCAAGCCCCTTCCCTGTCTGTGGACCACAGGTACCCAGTTGTCAGTGTGACCAAATCTTACACAGCCTCATGTTGTTGTGCTGTGGGGGGAGTGTTTCTTCATGGCTAGTGATACTGACTCTGTGCTGATGTCCTTTCCAGGTGCTGGCACTCTGCTTCGTTCTGATCCTGGGATCCCTGATGCCCTGTCTCCCTGAATTCTCTTCAGCATCGCAGACAGTGAAAGCAACACCAGCACCAGACATTTACACATCTAGTAAGAGTGAGTCTAATGTGTTCCTCCATTTCAACTTGTCAAACCATTTCCAGCTCTTCTCTTGACACTCCCTGACCAGGCATAGCATCTTCACCTCTGTGCCTTCCCCGTATGCTGGGACCATGGCAAAGGAAGACTCATATTCTGTCTGTGGTACAGACTCCATAACAACTCCTTCTTGGGCCTGTTGTCATGCTGTGCTAACCATTGTCCCAAAACTTGACTAGTGTCAAAGGAAGGAACATGAGGGAAAAGTCCCAGGGCAGACTGGTTGTCTTCTGAAGAGGCTCTATGTCCAGGGGGGCATTTGCTTCATGAAGCTGGGGGGAGGAGGGTATCCTGCACAGTTCCACATGAACAAGGCTGGGTGAGCATGTGCTGAAACTACCATCATGACCCAAATCCATTGCAAGAGACCTTGTCCCCATTGTTAACCAATGCTCTCCTTTTTTTCAGTTCAGTCACGGAGCCTCCTTTTCTATGATGAGGGGGCTGGCTCCTTAGAAGAGAGCTATAGCTCCTTCCTAACCATGGACCATCCTGAGGGGTGGGAGGCCAAAAAAAGGCAGTCTGAAGAAGGAAGGCCTCATCTGGCCAGGACACATGAGACGGCTAAATATCTGAGCAAAACCCAGGGGGGTCCTGCCCAGAACCAAACCAACCCAACTCTCAGCCACCTCAAAGAGCAATTCCGTGAGAGGTAAGCAGGTGGGGCCTCCTTCTGAGCCCAAAACACAGCACGGTGTCTGGGGGTAAGCAGCAGGCACATCCATCCCCTCTGCTGCAAGCTAAGGACAGCTGAGCCGCCCAGGACAGGGAGCCAGCTAAGAGCCATGGCTGGAGGAGGCCAGTGCTGGCAGGGAGCATAAGAACAAGTTCATTTTCTAGAGCAAAAATGTGGCCATAAAACAGTGTTCCACTTGCATAAAGATGTGGAGGGCTGGATGACTCACATGGTCCCAGGTTTGTGGTCCATTTAGTGCCCTGGGGAAGGAGCTCATCCTGGTCAGAGCAAACTAGCTGGGCACACAGAGAGGTGGATTTGCATAGGAGGCTACAATGAACCTTGACTGATGCCTTGTCTTTTCTTTTTCTCAGGGAGACAAGCTCCAGTGAGACAACTGAATTCTTGTAGCAGCTGCTGGACCTCAAGGCCTCATCTGTCTGATTGCAGGATTCCCTCCTCACCAAGCAACTGAGGGGACTTGGCAGGAGAGGACACTGCATTTAGACGCTCCTAAACTGGCCTTGGGTTCAGCTCCTCCCCTTCCCCATCGTCCCCATTAGTGCTGATCTCTCTGAGGGGAGTCACAGGACTGCCAGAACCAGCAATAAGTGTCTGGAGAAGCCCTGAGACTCCCTCTTCTCTGGCCTTACCTCCTGCTTAAATGAGCACTACCCTATGGATGTGGGCTCACCTTGGAGAGGAGGGAGATCAGGGGAAGCCCACAAACTATTCAGCTCACTCCCCAAAGCCTCCAGACCAAGGGGGCTGTTCCCACATGTGTACCCCTTGGCTACATCAGATGCACCTGAAGGAGAGAGAAAGTGCTGGATTTACCGTCCTGCCTGAGGGTTTTAGGAGTGGGTGAAGCTGGTGCTGAAGAGATGGCTCTGGAGAGTTTGAGCTCATTCCTTGCCCTCCATATGTTAGTATATTTCTGCTTCCATTGAGAGAAAACCTAGTTCTTCCTTGCTCTAGTTTTCTCTTGATGGACATGCCTACGTAACTTCAACACCAACTATCTGCAAAGATCTGCACACAAACGGAGTAGGGGAGAGAGATCCCAGACAGATAAATCACCATAAAAATTAGCCAGCAGCTTCTGGGTAACCAGAGCTCTGAAAGAGAGAACAACTTTCCCTCATAATCCACTTCTCCCCACCCTTAGCACTCCTCTTTTGGCAGGGGTGGTATTTTTCTTTCTGTTCCCAGCTTGGGCCCTACAGTGCAGTGCTAACCAGGTCAGTGGTCTTCTCACTTTCCATTCTGCAAGCCTCCCCCTTTGAGAGTGAGTGAGAAAAACACATTCGCATAACCCAACCCCTATCCCAGCTCTTCATCCTTGATTCTGCTTCATGCCTAATGGGTCTTCCTAGGAACCACCAAGGAGAGCTCTACAACCCATTGGAGGGCTGTCAGATTGTTCCCCTCACATCCTCTGTGTGCACAATAGTGTTGTAAAAGCCACTGAGGACATACTGGCATTTCTGAGACAGCTACATCTGTCATGAAAGAGGTGTTATGTTGGAATTGGCCAGGGTCACCAAAGACATTTTTAGACCTCTTCTTTCTAAATGCTGACAGCAGAAATAGCAAACTCTTGCCATACCACCTCTCAGGCCAAGTTTGGTGTTGAAGTGACATCATATCAAGCCTATGCCATTCTCTTTAGCACCCAGACACCCATTTCTGACCCTTCTTCCTCTCCAGCAAAATTCCTGCAAAAAGGCAGAAGTGTCTCCTCACACCATTCCTCAGCTGCCATTTGATGGAAGGACAATGTGGGACACGAGTGTTGGAGATCTGGGATGTGGCAGGGTGCCCCTGTGTGACATGGGAGTCCCTGTGCACTCTGCCAGGTCTCACAGCAGGCTCCTCTTCTGCTTGTTTCTCATCAAGCACCCTCGACTCACTCTGCACTGCCCCAGCCTCTCCCCTCCCAGGGCGGGAGTGGAGAAGGCTCCCTTTAGAGGAAGGATGGGATGGCTCTTGCTCAAGGACTGAGAGAGGTGAGGGAAGGGCCCTCACATCCTTCTTTTCCCCCTATTGAAAATTGGTTTTGCCCCTCCAAGTCATTTAGGAAAATTTGGACACAGCTGGCTGCAATCGTGCATCCGTGGCCAGTGGGGTGGTGAAGAGGAAAGCTTTCAGCATTGCTCTGCTCTCCCCACAGGACCCACTGGTCACCAGATACCACTGCATTCCCCGTTCTCCACCCCAGCACAAAGAACCACTGCCGGGTCCAAGCACACCCTCCTCCACCCAAAACTTCCACAGAGCATGTCCCCATGCCTCCCACTCCCACCGTTGTACAGAGATCAAGAGCAGAACTCGTTTGTACATAATGAAACTTATTTTGTATTATTGCCGATCCCTTAAGATATTGTATTTTGGAGACTCTCAGATCCTATTTTCAGTATTGTATTTTATTAAGAATTAGTGCGGGCTTGGCATCTATGAACTTCTTGTAGCAGCTCACTTTCCACTTATACTCCAGCAGCTGCTTCTTCTCTCTTAGTTTTTTTTGTGTTTTTTGTACTGTTTTGTTTTCTTTTCAAGCCACCCTTTCTCCTCCTTCTATCACTTGCTCTGCATTTGCTTTATGAAGCAAAATAAAAATAAAATAAAAAGATTCAGCATCAGCCCTGGGTTGACAGATGCTTTTATTGAAGCATGGTTGTCATGCCAGCCCACATCACAGCTCCTCACCTCCTGCTCCCTCTCCCGTTTCCTGGCCATGTGCAAAATTGGTTCAGTACTGGGACTTCATGCTCCATGTCAGGAGCTAGAAACAAACTTGCATGTTTTATTTCCAGCAGCACTGTCATTGTCATTTCTTCTGCAGTTCTGAACAAGTCAGAACTCTTCTACCTCAGTTTCTTTCCCCCCCTTGAAATACCACTATCATCTTCTTGGAAGGAGAAAGATCATGGAAGAAAGTATACGAGGAGCAAAGAGCTACTTCAATGAAGAGGCTGTGCAGGGATCTGTACAACAAAGACATAGCTCATAGCATGGTGGTCCTATCCTGTCTGAAAAAATACCTGAATCTTTTCATTAATGTAAAAGCAGAGCAACTTTACTTAAATGGGGTAACCTTGGTCCTGGCTGTCTGTCAGCCTGTACCTCTGACAGTCCGTTTACACTTGTGAAAACTGATAGGTTTTGTCCTGATTTTGTGTGAAACACAAAGTAACCGAGGCTCTAAAAAACAAATTTTCCTTTTCTAGCAAGCTTCAAGTGGCTTCATTAGAATTTTGCCATTGAAGCAACTCTTGGAGTCAGCCCTCCATGTCTGGAAGGCAGCCCAAGCAGGAGCACCTTTCAAAGATGCTATAAGGTGTCTTTATCTCCCACCTCTGGCTGGGCTGGTACAGCAGGACTGTGCCACAGCAGAATGTAAGGCTTGGGGCTTACAAAGGTCTCTTTCTGCAAATTATAATTTCTTTGTGGAGAGGAGTGAAGCTGTTGCCTTGCTGTTTTGACTGAGCTGGCCATTGAACAGTGTCTGGGAGAGACAGGAGCTCTCTCTTCTGAGCCAGGTCTGTACTGCCAAGAGGGAGTTTGATGTGTGATCCATGGCAGGTTAGTCTGACATGGTTTTGCAGACCCAAGCAGAGCTCCCTTCCCCCTGCCCACCTACCGATGCAAGGAAATGCCTGACCTTGCCCTGCAGTTTCTTCCTGGACCAGAACTAGTCGTGAGTTGACAATCTGATGTTTTCCCTGCAGTTCCCTGCAGCACCCCGTCCAAAAGCAGCCTCCTAACCCTGCGTCAGTATGATGCACCTTCCCCCACTACGGGGTGGGGCTGCTCCCTGCACTCATCAGATTTCATCCAGAGGAAGGGCTCAGCCCTGCTTTGCTCAGCCTTGTGAAACTTCACACAGCTCTTTGGGAATTGCCTTCCAGGGAGATTTTGGCCTGCACCCTTCATACACACTCCAAAACAGGTGCAAGAGGGAAGTTCTTAAAAGAATGAGTTCTCAGGCTTTGGCTGCTTAAACGCGGCCAGACCAATCAGAACCCTTCCATCAGGAGAAAATTTCCCTTCATCTTGACAAATCCTCCTAATTCTGCAGTCTACCAGATATCTCTGAGCTGCTCAAAGCAGACGCATTAGGATCTTTTGATCCCCGCTATGCCTCCCAAAATGCACCAGCCAATCACACCTATCAGTTTGGCTACAGCAAGTAATTAGAGCAGATTGAGAGAATTAGCAGAGCAAGAGTCACCTTCCTTACAAGTCACCTTCCGCCTCACTCAGTTGTGCTTGGTCTGCTCCAAGTGCCCCAGCTGAGTTCTGCCACAAGCTGGGCTTCTGCCCACTCAGGGTCACATTTCTCAGAAGCCTCTGTGCTGTCAATTCATACAAGCCCTGAACAAAAAAAATGCTAACAGAACATGGACTTTGGTTTTCAGAGACAAATTATTCCCAATTGTTCTGTTACCAGGCTAATTAAAAAGAACAAAAAAAGGTAAAATACTTAGGTTTTGTGGCTTGCTGCTGCCAAAAGGGTTACTGGCAGTGCATGTAACCCAGCAGCAGCCTGGTGGGTATGTTTTATTTGTTTCAGAAGGACAAACTTCCCACCCTGAAGCTCCTTTCCTATGGCATTGACACAAACACCAGTGAGAAATGCTCTGCCTTCCTTCCTACCTGGAAGTCTGGATCCTGCTCTCACCCAGCTTCCTGTTTGTCTCCATCCCTGACTGGTCATCCACTTCCTCAGCCTGGTGGCCACAAACTTTTTTAACCATAAAGGACAGGACAGATGTTTCCCAAAACTCCCTGGGAGCAAGAGGGGACCAGCATTTTGCATCCCCTGTAGCTCCTCTGGGTAGCCCATCTTTGTCCTTCCCTGACAGCCCAGCTGGCACAGATGAATGTGGCTCCCATATTCCATGGCAACAGAGGCTCCCTAGGCCAGGAAGAGCCCAGGGCAGAAAGAGAAGCATCTCACTGCGGGTGGTGAGAAGAACAGGTGCCACTGGGCACCCGCTGCTTCTCTTTCCACAGCCTGCTCCCAGCCTCTGTGGCAGCAGGAGGATGGAGCGGGGCCATGCACCCATGCAGGGAGTACTGGCAAGCTCCCAAGCAGGTCTGTGTCCCCTCAAGGGAGGATGAAGCTGCTTCCCCAGGGCCAGCTGTGCTTGTGCACAGTGCTGCTGGGGGAGGGCTCACCCAGCAGCGCTTCAGCTTTCAAGGAGAACAAAACCCCTGTGGGGGATGGAGGGGCTGAGTCACACAGTGAGGAATGTGGGGGTTTCCTGCCAGTCACGATTCCGTGGAGGAGTGGGCTTGGGGGCTGTTGTGGTCCTGATAGAAGCAAATCCCCCAGGAGTGCAGCCAGAGAGAGATGTCATTGTGACTTTTAGGGCCAGACAAAGGCTTGGTAACTTGAACTGGAGGTGCCAGTGGAGTATGGTTACCAGGAAAAGACACAGCACTTCCTCAGCCCCTGCTGCTTCCCAGGTTGGGGTGAAAAGTGACATGGGAATGTGCTGTTCCACAGTGCCCTGCAGCAGAGGTGCCACAGGGCAGTATGGAGGTAATGAAGAGTGCAGGCACAAGGGATGAGATGCTCCTGATGACTCCAATGGTGATACAACAGAGCAGGTTGAGGACAGATTCCTGCTCCCATCACGCCAGACTTTCATGGGAAAACACTGGGATTACAGGTGACTGCAATGTGCTCTTCACGCAATACATGACTGTAGGACCTTGCCATGATGCAGGGGATGGCTCTTATAGACATATACTTTGAATTTTCCAGGGCCTAGCAGGTAAAAGCACAGCATGTGAATCTGGGACAGAACAAATCAGGCACATATGGGAGCTTTGTAGGGATCTCTTACTCCAGCTGACATCCACAGCATGAGGGTGGGCTTGGACTCGGGTCACAAAGTCCAGCCACAGCCCGGGACAAATAAATGATGCAACTTGTCTGATGTATGTGGGCAGAGGTCGTTCCTACCTCTGGATGCCAAGATTGGAGAAAAATTGACTTGAATAAGGAAAAATCAGGAATAAAGTAGCCTCCTAAGCGGCAAGGATCTGAGTGAGTCAACTGGAAAGATGGGTACCACTGTCCACAGCTGGGGACCCTGTCCCTGAACAGATGTCATCCATGGTGGATGATTGGACACAACAGCAGGTACTTTGCTCTGCTGGGGCTGCTGCTGTCATGCAGTTTTCCAGGCCACCAGACTTCACCTGAGAGCAGGTCTGGTTAAGACAAGTGCTACCTGAGCAGCCCTTGCAAGCAGGCAGGTACCAGCTGGACTGCGGACAGAGAGGGGCAACTGAGTTGTCACCCTCCTCTGCCTTCCCAGACTCCGAAGAGTTAAGTGCCAGTTTCAAGTGTCTCTAAGGTGACACCAGGCTGCCTGCTGGATGCAGCTCCCCGCAGCCCCCTCCCCACGCACACAGCACACACTCATGCTCACTTTCTGCTTTGTCTTTTGAGAGCTGCTCCAGGCTTTGTGCACAGGCACTTTCGTCGCTGCCTACCTTTCCTTGCTGCTCCTGCTCAGCTGCTGCTGCCGGGGACAGTGACGGATGTGCCTGGCTCCAGAGGGACCTTGCAGAAGGCAATCCAAGCTCCTTTTTGCTCACTTGCAAGCATCGCTATCCCTGGACTGTTCATCTTCAGTGAACATTGTGTCCCTCACTCCTTCCCCACTGCTCTCACAGTGCCAGCACCTCCGAGGATCAGCACCAACATCTCCGGATGTGTGCCAGATATTCCTCCGCTTCAGAGTGGCAGGGCAGTAGAGACAGCAGGAGGCTGAGCTGCTGCGTCTGAGCTATTCAAGCTGCTATCAAGAGGCCAATAAATATCACTGCAAAAACTGGACACTGTTTTTTCTCGTGCTTGTGCTCCCTCAGGAAGTTAAGCCTTGCTGGGGTGTCCCACGGCCCTGGGGAGACGAAGTGGAGCAGCACTGTGGGACCCTGTGGGACAAGACCAGGCTGCCCAAGAAGTTCTGGGGGCAGAGTGTGATTCCTCGCCTAGAGAGACACCTCACTCCAGCATGGCTGAAGGTCCCGGGAGCCTGAAAGACTTCTCCCCTGCCAGGAGTGATGGTGAGGTGGCCAGGGGAGCCACAGCAAACTTCCAGGGAGCAGCAGATACAGAGAGCACTGGACGAGCACAACGCTTGGGCGTCCTCAGCATGGATCCAGCTTGGGAGGAGACGAGAGGGGCAGTGGCCGTGGCGGAGATGGAGGAGCAGTTCCTGCACTTGGCCATCAGAAAGCAGGTCTCCTACAGGTAGGAACACCTGGGTACCCAACTGTCAGGGCTGCACTGGGGCACTGGAGTGGCCTGTCCCTGAGGCATCTCCCTCTCATGGGGTCAGGGTTGGCTCTTTCCACTGACCACCAGCATATTCCCACCAGAAACCATGTCAGCAGAGACAAGGTAACCAGTTAGTCCAGTCCCTCCCTCACATGCAACAGCCTCCTCTGCAGTCTCATTATTACCTTTGCAGATCCCCTTATTTTCCTTCTACTCAACTCCCTGTTCCCATCCTGGGGCTGTGATGCCTCCTAGGCAGTGGTCTGGGCCTTTTGAAAGTATCTGGCAGCAAGAGGAGAT